CATCCCCACGAGGTTTGGGTTGGAGAAGCGCCGAAATCGCCAAAGCGAATTACCGTTTCCCAGGTTTCAATGCGATGTAAACAACCGTGCCTGATGGAATAGGAGAGGCATAGTTGCGACGTCATAAGAGGTCAGGATAAGATGGGAGCCGCGAAGCTTAGCAGGTGAGTTGCAACCCCTCAGATCCAGGGTGCGAAATGCTCCATCGGCCCACATCGGTAGGCAGCGAAGATCTCCGAACACCACCAATAAAATTCAGTGCAAGGAACAGATTTTTTGTCCGCAACTGCGATCGTCTGTTCTGGAACTGCAGAACACATCGCGACCGGATCTTGCGGATGGTCGCGACCCGAGACGCCCGGGAGCTTCAGCTCGGCCTCTCGTGATGCGCGCGGAGGAGGAAAGCCAGAGGATTCGGCCAACCGCACATCACGCAACAAGAACTTCCTGGACGATTCGCTCAAACTCGGATATGCAGTGACTGACTGAACGGTGAGAGAACTAACCGGGGTCGGCGGCGTGGACAAGTGCGCTTCTACTCTGATACATACGGCTTTCGGTGTTTACGGGAGCGCAACCATCTTTTGTCAGCAGCCGGCTTCTGACTCTAGCTCAGATCGCTTTGCTTTGAATGCTCATCACAAGAGATGGATGCATCGATCGGCTTGAATTTCACCCTCTGTAGGTGCAGATGTCGTCGCATTAGAGGCTTGTGGAATCCAGAAAGGTTCCAGGTGACTGCTTGGTGTTTCGACCTTGGCGATATGTTCCAATAAGCTCTTGTACTCTGAGAAGCTTCTTCTGAGATAGCAGGATGGGCATGGGATGGTTGAAGATCAAGATGACATGTGCGCGGACGGAAAACATGGTCAGACACTGTCGAACCCGGAACTTGCACGTCGTGTTATACGGGTGTCGCTGTGACAGGCCGGACAAGCGGGGCGAACGAGCTGCAGCAGCGCCAACGGTACATATCCAATATAGCACTCCAACCATACCATTCCACACGTTTGCGAGGTCGGTACGTTCTAAAGTCTGCATCAACTCTTCGCAGATGTGGGTTGTAAGTGAGATCTGGCTGCTATGTGGCTCAGCTCCGGTTTGAACACAAAACGGGTAGCGACTTGATGTCGCAGCAACAGAGAAAGGCAAGCAGCGTACGATAGAAGTCGTGTAGATCGTGGCAGCGAGACGACACGCCTCATAGACCCAATCGCAGGAGTTTGGGTGATCTGGAGTGTAAGCCGGGGGTAGATTTGCTAATCGATCGCAAATTCCAGCCACTCTTGTCTTATAATCGACTTCGTTGGAGGGCGGATAGGCTAGATGGACGTCTTTAGCATCGCCAGCGGGCTCAAGTGCTGTGTTTTGCGCCAGGAATAGGTCTGTCAAGTCGCGCATATCTCGAAGTAAGCCACATGTGGTAGATGAGCAACGCTCTTCGTTGAGAAGATATCGGAGATCAGGCCCTGGGCAGAATAATGGGGATTCTGGGATTGCGACATCTGCGTTATCGTTGACCGATTCATACTTTGCAGGCTCACACAACGCAAAGGTCGGCAGGGGTTGGGCTTCGTAAATTAGGTCGCAGTGGAAACAACACCTGAAAGCATTATTAGTCTGCACTCTTCATCAGGAGTTCATGAAGCTTACGCAGTAGTAAATTGCGCGATCATCGCCCTACCGGTCTTTTCCAGGTCGCCGCACAGGAGTAACATTTGTTCGATGCCTCGTTCGTGACACCGGACCGTCGGCTCATCACAGCTCCACATGTCGCCTCCCAGCAAGTGAAGCATCACCAGGAGGGTTGACACGGCGTGCTCCCGGGTGAACGACTGAAGCCGAAGCCTGATCATGACCAGGGTTTCATCCCTGACAAGCCTAGTCCTTGTACTTTCGCCTGGAATCTTTGCGAGCATATCGAGCCAAGTACATGTCACGGACCCGATACCACTGAGCATTACATGGGGATGAACATTCATTTCGGGTGCCCATGCCTTGACAAATGCTTCTGTCCCGAACGCCCGCATGACTGTAAGTGTCAGCCATTGAACCAGAGCATATGACGTGAAAAGTCTGGAAGATTTTGTACACCTACATGCACGCAAGATGAAACCGCTGTTCAAACTAGGGTTCTCGAATTGGGGCAACACCTTGAAAGGGTCAAACCCGTCTCCGATCTGAGAGAAAGTGGTCGTGAATAACCGAATCTTGCGTTCTTCTTGGCTCTCAGTGTACTCGTATCCAGCACCCTTTTGAAAGCTTCTACTCTGCCTTCGGCCTGAGCGAGTTGGCCGACAGCGTTCAAACGCAGCATCACGAGCCTCAGCACCGCTCGCTTCCTTTGGGGACCTCGTAGTCGGTACATGAGTTTGCTGATCATATTCATAAGAAACAAGTGCTCTCGGTGTTCTTTCTGGGGGAAGTAATTGACCTTGAGTCGTCGTGAGCTCGACCTGCTCGCCGACTATTGGTTCAGTGTAAAGAGGTGGTACTGTTTCGGGCCGTTCCCGAGGTGCTGCGTCGCTATTGTTTATTTTGTTCCTATGATACCTCATCGCCTGCGAGCGGACGCTTCGTCTTGTCTCCCCGTCCTTGAATTGAGTAGGGTCTGTCGCGGTAAGGAAGCGAAGTTGAAAAGGTCCATCGAGCTTTCCACGGCGACGCGCCGCTCTCGTTGTGGCGCGAACAGTCTTTGGCCAAGCATCGTTTCCAGACTGGCGATTTGTGACAGCGGGTAAAGCGATATCAAGCTGGGAGGTCGCGATGTCACTTTTGCTGGTCGGGGTTATGCTGGAAGCCATGGATATTGGCGTGGTGTGGTGCCCCAGAATGCCAAGAGAAAGCGGGGTCTGGCTCAGCGAGGGAAGTAGCCACGATGCCACGCAGCATCCAGCGCCCACAATACCTCTACACCTATGTGTTCGTCGCCGAAGAAGGAACCGCGCTTTTATATGAAGCTGGGGCCGGGGTTTGTATCAGCCGAGGCTGGCATGTCGGTGAGCCGCCCATGCAAGGCACTACATGCGTTCACGGGTAGTACGCCACCGCATCGCTTGCGTCGGGGGACCACGCCGCGATATGATAGAGCAATAAGCGTACAGCCTCGCACTAGCCAAGACAATGGTGGCCTGACGATACTAGAGTTCCGACCAATCCAATGGATTAAGAGAAAAGCTTCCAGGATCACCGACATCCTTTTAACACGCGCATTGGGACGTCAACAACTTAGCCAAGATCTTCCGCACAGCCCTTCCAAAGTCCATGAGCAACTGCCACAATATAACACCGTCGCTCTGATCAGTAATCCGACTCTGGTCCGCTGTCAATAGAGGCGAATCCTCCGCTATCGACACAGCCGCGTCCCCATGCCATGCGACACCAGCTGGCCGTATCGTCTCGTTGCTACCAAACGACTCCACCATCCTGCGTTCATCAACGAACATGTAGTCACAAGGCAGGATAACTCCTAGAATCTCGTGAGCTTCTCAATTTTCCTCCCTCCGGTCCTGTACAACACACCTTCACGCCTCAGCTTCACTCGAGCTTCGTGCCACCGCTCCTCATCGATCAAGCTTGGCGCATCGTACAAACCAGGCGACAGCGAATTGGGGCTGAACGGTGCAGGTATGAACCGGCGCACGTGGTCCAGAGCTTGCGATGCGGTTTCGCCTTTGTAAAGCATGCGTCGCTTGACTAGTGGCGCAACATGACGGCCGTCCGGCAAGTCGTATAGCAGGCGATACTGCTCTTCGACATTGAAATTGTCGAGGTCGTCGATATAATAGTCAGCGACATAGCCGTGGGTAGTCATGTCGCTTCGTCTCATGGCGTGAACGGTATATGCGTGGAATTTGAGAACTCACTCAGAGAGTCGAAGAAAAAGCCGTGGCTCATTAGCATCTTCCGATTGCGTATATTGAAGTAGAAATATCGACGATGCGCTTCCGTTGGTCCTCTGACGGCGTCAAACGGCACTCTGGCAAACTGCGCGCTGCGACGAAAGGAAGACGAACGAGAGAAAGAGATAAGGACATACTCTAAGTGCATCCGCAAACCTACGCGACTATTACCACCTCATACACGAAAAACACTAAGCAGGTCTGCGGACTACATTAAGACAGATACCTACAAATTAGGTGACCTAACGTTAACGTAGGCTCTAGAGTATTTAGTCTTTTATTAGGTTAACGTGTTACTATAATATTGTACCCCAGAACGTCACCCTCACACCTCCAACGCACTACCATCCAGCGTCACCCCCATCACCCCGACTCTCCTACCAAACCTCACTAACCGCCGACTTATCTGGATGTGACTGCATCCTCGGCATTCCAACCGATTCCGTCTCAACATAATACCCCCCTTCCTCCTTAAACTCAAGAAGGTACCTCCCATTAACAGGCCCAAATTGCTGCACTGTCCATATCTTGTTGAAAAAAGTTCGATTAGGTCTTTGGTGTGGGAATTCGCCTAGAGGGAGGCATGTCTGTTCAGGAACATGTGATAGCCATTTTTCGATTCGTGGTCGAGTGGCCATTGTTTTGTATGCGACGAGCGTGCGGAAGCTGTTTGCTTGTTCGAGGATTTGTGTTGAGGTGGTTTGCTGGCTATCGGAGGAGGAGGTTGAGGAGCTGGTTTCTGACTGCATCTTGGGGGTTGATTGAGGACAGAGGGTTTGCGCGGCGTGCGTGGTGAGGTGTTAGAATACACCTAGCTGCTACGCAGGGTTTGTAGTAGTGTACGCGATGCTGTGCGCGGCCTTTGTATGCTTTGGGGGGTGCTGAACGTATTCGGTTTAAATTTGGTGAAGTCTTTGTATGCTCTTGGAGGTGCTGAACGTGTTTGGTTTAGATTTGGTGAAGTCTTTGTAGTTATGGGAAGAATTTTGGTGTCTGAGTGTGGAACGGCGAGAGAAGACCATATTTATGAAATTCCTGTCTCTCATTCTTCGGTTCCCACGTGGTTCCTTACCAACCCACCCACACCACTCAAGCCACTCACAATTTCCCTAAAGCTTTAAACGCGAGCCGAATTTCCTTCCTATAGAAATCTTCCGCAATGTAATATCTCTCCCCTCTCAAAATTTCCTTCACTCGCTTAGGCTTTGCCCGTAACTCCACACGCCTCTCTACTGCCTCGTATTTCTCATCTTTTTCTCTGCTTGCGCCGGAGCTATCGGTGACGATAGCTACAATCCTGATTATGGCAGCCTTGTCTGGAAATAGAATCTCCTCCGCCTCAATACCGATTTGGGTATTGCGCAAAATATCCTCACCGGAGTACTCGACCACGCCGGGCGCAGATGTGAAGTAGCCGCCGATGCAGCTGCTGAAGTAGTTTACAGCCTTGTTCAAGAGGGAAGACAGACGACGCGGAGGTACTGGGAGTGACTCTGCATGCATTGGCGAGGAAGAGCTATTCGCTGCTTCCTGTATTGGTGTTGAGTCTAGATGGAATTCAGGTGGGTCGGCAAGGCCTATGAGGGGATTCGGGCTGGGTGACGGTGGTGCAACCCAGGGCGCGCGTTCGTGCCATACACCTTCATCGATATCTGCACCCGCATCTCCACTAGTCTCGAGCGTTTCCGTGTCGTTTGATGATGCGCGGTCGTTATCTTTAGCCTCCATGGCGTCAAGTGGTGATGCAGTCACGGCATTGGAATACGGCGTGATAGTGTCTCTGTCCGTCATCAAGTCGACCGAGTGGTTTGTGCGATCCATGAATGGTGATTGTGGAGAAAGCGCGCCCATTCTTGACTGTGCTTCGGGTTCTATGACTCGCTGCTCTTTTGGCGGTGACTGGTCTGCTTCATCCATGGTTGAGATGGCTGAATGTCAATGAGCCGCGGCTCATACGTTTAGGAAAAGCTCGAGGCAGCCGCGCTATGGCGTTGTAGGACTATGCTGCGCAGTTGCAAGTAGTGAATGAGACTCGATGGAAGTTGAACTCGAACTTTCAGGAGTGAAGGGTGCGCATGAAGAAAGTGGCGACCTAAGATGGAGACGGCTCGTGAACGATGAGTGGTGAATGTCTCATAGCCAGAGACACACCGAGAGTGTATACACCCAATTCCACTATCCGAATGTCGTGGCAGATGCGTCACAGCACTTATTCCCAAGTCAACATACACACAATGACTGAACTGCTGGCAGACAGTGACATGTACACTATATTTAACCACTCATTCATACCCCGATAGTGGTCGATAAATAGGACTCTGAATCCCTTGCCGCAAGATGTCTCCATTGCTACAACTACATCTCACGACACAATCATGTCAGACTCACCAAGAACTCCAGATGCACTCAAACAAGCACCCCTCAGTAATCCTCGATTACAGATTCCTCGCCCCGCATTCCAACGCGAGACCACTGCCGTCGATCCCTCGGAATGGCAAGCTTACACACCGAAGACTTCGCACGGGTTTATAGCCATGCATACCTCCACGCCCGAGGACATGCACGAGAACAGGGGTAATGGGAAGCCTACAGCAGTCAAAGATTACTTCTCAGTACCAAAACAGAAGCAAAATCCCATCCTCTCTCCTAACCCTGCGCCGTATGAACCGCATGGTTTCTTGCCACTTTGTTCCGTTGCGGCCGTTGAAGTCGACGCGACCGATTACTTCGGATTGTCAGACAGATCTGTTAAAAGTGCTATCGAGGATGCAAGCTGTGGCGACCCGGTTGTGGCCAAGGATGTCGAGTGTGATCGCGCTCCGCAGTCTGAAGGTCACGTGCATAGGAGCCGGCGCCCGCTGGGCGAGGTTACGCATCCATCAGGAGAGCAGCATAACGAGTGCGATGTCGTGCCGAAGCCAGAAGAAGAACAGGATATCGAAAAGAAGCCCGAGATGGTATTGCGCGGCGGCAGTGGCGAAGAGCTTAGCGACGGAGACAAAGAGACGGCCGATCGTTCACCTAAAGGCGATGTGCCTGACCCCAAAGACCATAGACGAGAAATCGAAGCTAACACACCGGTCGCTTCATCGCGCACTGACGTAGCCCAGAAAGATCATACCGAAGAACTGAATCGTATTCCGGCGGCGCTCAATAGAGCGCTCGAACAGATGTTACAAGAAGTCGCAACCGTTTGTAACATGGCAATAGACATGCACGTGGCTAGCAACGATCCTTCCAGCACAGAACCCACGCTCGAAAAAACAGCAGGACGTGACGATGCCGAAAAGACATCACAGCCGCCAACAGATCAACCTGATGATTCTGAAAGCGCTCATGCGGCATGACTGCATGATAGTCCAGAACAGAACGAAAGCAAGCAAGCGTTCTCAGACCTGAGTAAGCACAATACCTCTCCGAGTGTAAACATGGCCGAGGTGACTGCAAAAGAAGGACAGGAAGCGTCTCCAGTAGTCCGACGAAAACTCAGAAAGGACTGGAAGAGGCTGGCGCCGCTCGAAGGTCACACCGGAAGACTCTTTGACACGATGCAGCATACAGACAACAAAACACTCATCGCATTGAAGTCAGGCTTCACAGTCGACATCGTGAATGCCGACACCAAGAAACCATACGTCCGCAATATTCCTCTTCGCATGCTATGGCATTTCTGTGGCGCCTCCGTCCTCGATCGCTTTATACCAGACAGGGACGGGCGCCCTGATCTGTTAAAGATACCCGTTAAAGAAGCCGAGAAATCTGGAGTCGCAAGAGTAATGCGATACATGCGTCGCGCGTGCAAAGCAGCTAGCGTGCGGCCCACGGGTGAGCTGCGCGTACCACCCAGTCTGGCCGCTGGTATCGAGACCATCCGCGCATGCCGTGTATTTGGTTTGCACGCTGATGCCGACCGGCTCGAAGACGTGATGATCGACGAGTGGATAGGCAACGAAGCGTGGTATATGACCGACGAGCATGTCGAGCTGATCTGGGATGGATATCACGGTAGTCTTCGCGATACCGTTTTCGGGGATGTGATAGTCTGGTTTGTATTAACAGAAGTGCAAGATAAGTCGCATCCTCTCGCTGAGGAGATACGGTGGATGCTGGAGCAAGACGAGTACGAGACGTTGAAGGCAAGGGTTACGGACGAGGTACAAAGGAAGATGTGGAGACTGGAGGATCATGATCAGTTCTTGGGAAGATGTAGTTGGGAGAGGGCGGAGCGGATGCGCAAGGAGGAGGAGCGTACTGATCCTCGTGCGCGAGGGTATCATCAACTGCCACTCCCGATGTCCGACGCTGAGCAGAACACTTTTCATCATGGAACCAGCGCGAAAGCTCTTGGCATTGAGATGATGCAAGCGGGGTTGTGGGATGGCGGGGGCATAGGGGTCCTTCCAGATGTTCCAGTCCAATCTCCTGAGCTGCCGAGGGCTGGAGCTGATACCCCTGCTCCGCATTCGCTTGGTCGGCATTAATGTGAGGGTATGGTACATGGCGGAGCCATAACTTTGGGACGCGCCGGTGGTTTTGTGTTTTGTGTTTTGACTGATAGTAGTTTCCTAGCTAGTATCGAGATGCTAGTGTTACCGCTTCAATGCCAGCTAATAGCTGGAACTTTGCGATGTGAGAAGATGCGGTTTAAGAGATTTCTTCTACAGTTTGAGAGGCAAACCGATGTGAGTAAGATAACGAGGTGAGGTGCGAGTTTGCTACGCGCGCGGCAGCTGAGTCAATGTGGGTTCGAGAGTGCCGAGCTGATGTTGGCAGCAGCGGAAAAGGCGTGGTCGGCAGCACTGATTGGAGTCTGAGCGGTGACGTCACATGTGTGCGAAACCACCACCAGGGCAACACCCAGCCCGTCCATGTCACTGTAATGCGATACCACCTAGACGACGCTCCAAGAAATCCATAAAAACCTACAGCTACTACATCCCAATCTCAAGCCTCGCGCCCTTCAAACCCCTCAACCATTCCTCTCCTCATCCATATACTTCTGCAACACCTCCAAAGCTCTTGCTTCGAACAGCCTCCGCAGATGTCGCCGGCCTGTCTCCATTACCAAAGGAGTATCCGAATTCAACTCTTCAAAATCAAGATCCACAACGATAGTCATTGTTGCACGCGCAGTGAACACCCATGAGGCAGGCCGTCGTCCAAAGCCGCTACCACTTACATCGAGCATATACTTACTGTTGGACGGGTCGCCGCTTCGATGCAATTGGTTGTCTGGGCCACGTCGGTAGAACGTTCGCTCTGAGGAAGAGTTTGCGAAGCTGTTTGCGAGAGGGTTGTACTTATCGTATGCAGGCCCATTGAGCGGACCTGGCAGCAGACCATCGTTTGGAGTTGCAGAAGTTACGTTGAGTTCGGCGTTGTCGATTGGTTGCTGCGGAGGGAAAGCTGTGTTGCTCATATCCATATCTGATCTTTTGTCAAGTTGGCGAATGGGACGAAGTCGTTGGAGGGGTTGGCTTGTGCTTGGCTAATAAGCGCAGATCTGCGTCTTATACATGATGTTCGATGTGAGTGACCACGCATGACGATCTCTTAGTCACGAGAGCCCGGGGTGTTGTGAGATGTCTTGTGGATACGGCAGATAAAGCATATGACCCCTTAGAAGTGTAGGAGTGAACTGATGACAGCTATTAGCAATTGAGAAAGTATCGTCAGTGTCGAGCTCCGGTAGATACTGAAAGTTCGATGTTCGTATAAATCGGCAGTGTTCTATGGGGGTATATCTGTTAATAGATGCGGACGCCTCGGAGCCTTTGACAGGTCATGTAAAATCGTAGACAACCAACGCCTGACTGCCCTCGCTCTTCTCTCTCAGCACTATGACGTTCTGTTCATCGAAGCCGACCCAACCACGACTGACGGAAGAGTCGTCAAAGCCTTGGTCAAGCGCAAACCGTAAGCCCACTTGCTGCCCCGAGTCGTCGTCCTGGGTGTACTCTTCATTGGCTTTGGATGGCTGTACGCGAACGCTCAATTGTCCGTTTCTTGAGCGCTTGCGATTCGCGGAGGAGTTCATGCCGCCCTCTAGATCCCATACCCGCAGCTCGTCTCCTCGTCTGCTCACGGACACAGCCTTGCCGCGCATGCCAACATGGGCGCCAGATATTGAAGACGTGTGGCCCCAGAGGCGGTTGCCGGAGCTGATCGATAGTGCTTGTGATGTCGACCGGACGGGGTAGAGCGATAGCGTGTTATCGGGATGCGCGACGAGAAGATACGGATGGGAGTACGACATGGAAGTAGGTTTCGATCTGCTCGGTCCGCTCGGTGCTAGGGCTTCACCGGCGCGATCTGGTAAAGGTGACGACGAGCGTGCTGATGAAGAGGCCGCGCGGTACGTAGAGAGCGTAAATGAGTGTTCATCCGCCGCAGTAGCCAACCGTGACTCGATGAGGTCGCCTTTGTGTGAGAGTATGAGCTCTTGTACACCAACAGTCCAGCCGGATAAGTACGTCGGCAGGGAGTATGCGATCGCGGCGGTCATGGTATGTGCTGTTGTGCGCAGCGATAACGAGACAGGTGGCCATGCAGTGCTCGATCGTAGGGAGTATAGCAGCTTCGGTGCCTCCAACAGCCCGAACGTGCCAGGCACCTCTTCAAAAGCGTATAATGAGAGGAGGTGGTCTTCGGTCATCGTGAGGAGATAGGGCGATGAGTATGCGAGAGCCGACAGCATTCCGTTTGTTGATGGCGGATGGGTGAAGACATTCGTGAACTTCTTACGATTCGTCCTAAGTGCGTAAATGGAGAACGAGCCGTCTTCAAAGCCGATGACAACTCGCTCCGTGCCATCGTCCGTATTCGAGGCATCTATGGCCATGGATATGGGCAACCGAGCCATATCTGTTTCACCAGATAGTTCCGTGGATGCCAGTAGCTCCCTATCATTCTTCGAGTTCCACGCTCGCAGGCCTGACATGGAGTCGGCAGCATAGATGATGCTGTTGGACATCATGACGAGCAGCGGTGGGTCTGGAGGCCTTTCAGCGACGACAATCTCACTGACGGCGCATTGTCCCTGGGTCCAGTTATACCGTAACCGATATTGCTGCTTCCAGTTCGTTTGTGTTCCATCTTTGACCAAGTAGCCGTCTTCTAGCCATTTCGATAGCCGCGAGGAGTAGTGTAGCCGATTCGGGTTCGCAGGGCCTCTGATGCCTGGTATGCGCGACGCTCGAGGGAGGACGAATGTGCGGTAATAAGCGGCTTTCCATAATTCCGAATCGACCGAAAGGCGACTGAACTTCTTTGACACCCTGTAACAGTTAGCGATTGTCACGATGTAACGAAGACGACGTTACCTACCTTTGGCATACTAAAAGCGAGGGTACGGGCATGAAAGACAGTATGCGCACAAGCAACTCCTCGCTCAATCGAGAGAGTTTGTCGGGATGTAAAAGCCGCTGTACTTTGGCTGGATGCTCGCCGTCGTCATCGCCATCGTATGCGCGCTTCATAATACCTGGCTATGGCTGTCGTGTCGGCGGCGAATGCGCCTCGGGATGTCGGAATGGCACCATATCTTATCGTTATCGCAGAGTGTCTGTGCGTACGCGTGACTGCGCGCTCCACTAGCGCGCATCTTTCGCAGTTGCCGCCTAATGCTGCAACCAAGCAGGACACACGCGAACATCAAGCCATCTCTTGTCACACCTGTCGTTTTCATGCCTTGTCGGACTGGTCCAATATGGCGGAGTTTTCAGCCTGGGTAGAGCAGAACAAGGGGCTTTGGACGCGCGTATACGATGAGGTCATCCAGCCTGACCTCGAGAAGGAATGGAAGACAAGTAAGCATGGTCATTCAACGCGTCTACCTTTGCTAAGATGAATTAGGAGAAGAAAGACATCAGAAGGAGCTAGATCAAAGTACGCGTTTTGTCGTATTCATTGAGTTACATACTGACCTGCTGCAGAGGAAGAGAACCAACAGATACTGTTCCAACATCTGAATGACGAGATTCTGAAATCAGCGCGTCTTGCCAAGGAGAACGAGCACCTGAAAGAACAGCTCGAAACTAGGGGGCCAGTCGACCAGCATGTCTCTGAACTTGATGCACAAAGTGCGTCCGACGATTATCGCCACCTTACTACCGAGAATGAGCAGTTGAAGCAACGACTCGCGACTCTACAGGAGGCCGCTGCACCATTACCAGATCACGGGGTTGCAAACGAGGCTACCGAAGAAGACTATCACGACCTTGCTGCCCGGTTTAGTGACCTGACTAAGAAGTACCGTGACATGTCTCAACAAGTGAAGTATCTCCAGAAGAAGAATACAAACGTCATGCAAAAGAACAGGGACATGAAAGAGAGCGTGCGCGCATGGCAAGAGTACGCAGATCGGCAAGCAGTGAAGCAAAAGTCGAAGAGCGAGGCCAGAGACGGGGCCGACAAGTCACATATGGCGACGGCTCACCTTCTTCCTGAGGAACGGCCTCATATACCTTCCAGTCCAGTTTCGTTGGCCACTGTGCGAACTCCCGGATCCATCGCCAACCCGGACCGCTCCTCTCCTGCTCCTATGGCCCCGCTTCCGCGTTCAGTCCTGGGGATGACGAGTCGGTTGGCGTCTCCGACCACGGTCAGCGGCGAGGAAGCCCGGAGCCCCACCACAACTGTCACTCCAAAGGCCAGCACTCGGGCAGGGAACGTTCAGCTACAGCAACATCAAGAACACAATGGCAGTGTCTCTTCGCACGTCCAGCGCATCATCTCAGAGGACGAAGGCCATCATTCAGCGATTCCAAGCTCCAGTCAAACAACAGTGGATGAGCAGGTCGAGCCGAGGAGCATATTTGAACAGGCTATGGAAGCTGAAGATGACGATGATTTCCCCGAATTTGTTTCCGAGAGGTCACTAAAACGCAAACGAGGCCAGCCGTCAAAATCCAGATTCGAGATATACGCAGATCACTCTTCAGATGGTACGCCAATAAAGCCCCATCGCGTGAAAGAAGAGCCTCACAGTAGTCCTCCGCTCCCTGCCTTCAACATGACTCGGAACGAGACGATGGATCTGGACGATCCTGCGCCCCATGGGATCAAGACTCCTCGTCAACCCCGGACACAAATATTCCACGACACAGATCCTGTGGAAACGCCTCATCAGCAGAGGCGTAACAGCGCGCCACTTACGCAGGCCGTTAAGAACGAGAACCTGGATGATACTGATCTGCATGATATCTATGATAACATGCGCGAGCCTCACGCCTTCGCGAGTATCGAAGCACGAGC